TCTGCTGTGAGAGGCTCTTAAAAGAGTTTGGCCACCCATTGTCACAGCTCCAAGAGTAGAGAATATAAACGGGTGCATTATCTAAGAGGAGGGAAGTGTTTGGCAGATCCTGGTGAATCGTGGTCAGTCATTAGTTCAATTCTGTTCACATCAAGCGTCCATTCCCTACTCTCCCAAAGCCAACTAAACAACAGTTTCAGAAGATAAGGCAATAGAAAGTGCCAAAGTTGTCACCACTGCACTCACCAAATGGCAGTGAGATTGTTCATTGATGGAAACTGTTCAGCAAAGTTCATACTGTTACCCCACAAGACCCTTCACTGCCCCCACACAAACAGTGGTCTAGTAAACAGTGAACTTTCTGCTCTTAGGAAAACTGTGACAGCTTGTTATGGAAAGGGAAGTTTAAGAAGAGAAATAAAGGGGAGACTAAACAACCTTAAAACCTTGCTTGCAGGGTTGTGAGTCTCTCATGAGTCCCCATACCTTTCTCTTGCTTTCTCTGTCTTAGGTTCCGGGGTCTTTAGTGAGCAGTGTGGAGGGAGGAGAGGGTAGGCCTGATAGAAGAAGAGTGTGTTGGTTGTGAGACTAAATTTGAATTTTAAAATTATATTTTCTGTGATTAATTTAAATGGTCCTTTCCAGATTTACTCACCAAATTTACCATTTTAAAGATACTTTTATTTATTTTATGTGTATTCATTTTGCCTACATGTATAAAAGTGTACTATGTATGTGCATGGTTGCCCACACAGGAAAAGGGTATCAGATTCCCTAGGACAGGACTTATAGATAGTTGTAAACCTCCATATGGGTGCTGGGGGGCCCAAACCTTGAGTCCTCAAGAGCAGCAAATGCTTTTTACCATAGCTGTCTCTCCAACACCCAGATTGACTATTTCTGAGATACCAGATTGTCTAAGTGGTAAAGTTTGCACGTCAGTTTAGGTGTGTTGTGCTAGTTGATGGGAATTAGTCAAAAGTAGAAGACATCACTGGTGTTATATTTTGTTTTAATATATATTATCTTGTGTTTTTTGAGACAGAGTCTCATGTATCGAGGATGATCTTGAACCCTGTTAATGCTCATGTTGGAGATGTGCATCCCCACACTAACTCGCTGGCGTTTTAGTAGCCCACATGGCTGAGGTGAGGTGAGGTGGTGAGAATTAGGAGCTGCAGAGAGGAACTCGTGATTTTTGAGAATAGTCAAGTTTTGCCCTAAATGTCTTTAACTAATTGGAATGCCCCTGCCTCCTCTTTCCCTATTGTGGGAGTCACCTTTGTGTGCTTGAGATGTTTGTAGATGAGTTGATGATATGAGTCAGTTTAGGTTTTCCAGGACAGACTAGTTAATTCTTTTGATATTAGCATCATTTTTTAAGGAGAAGAAATTCAATAGTCAAGTTAGGGCAAGGACAGACAAGACAATCCATGTCTTCCTAGAAGTGCTGGATGGGTTTCTATGGGCTTAAGTTTCTGTTTTGTTGGGAGTAGAGAATCTACTACATAAACTGACTGTGGTGGAGCACACCTTTAATCCCACTGCCTGGGAGACTGAGGGAGGGGGTCAGATCTCTGTGAGTTTGAGGCCAGCCTCCCCTACAAAGAGAGTTCCAGGACAGCCACAGTTGTTATGCAGTGATGTGGGATATGCTGTGAAAATGTTTTATTGCCATTGGTTAATGGAAAAGCTGACATGGCCAGTAGCCAGGCAGAATCCAAGCAAAGATACAGGGAAATTTTGGGAGTCTGGGAGAAGCCAGCAGCCACGGGCCTTGTGGTGATGCACAGATGAATAGAAATGCATCAGTTTAAGTTGTAAGAGCTAGTTAGTAAAAGTCTGAGTCATCAGCCAGATATTTATGATTAATATAAGCCTCTGAGTGGTTATTTGGGAACTGGTGGGCAGGAGAGAAACTTCCGGTTACAATACAGAGAAACCCTGTCTTGAAAAACAGAAGTGGGGGGGGGGAGAACCTATAATACCTAATGAACCTCATTTTCGAAATTCAGGCACTCTGGTTTTGAGCTCTCACATACATCTCATTATTTACAATGATCTTTTATAAGTCCCGCTTTAGCTACTCTGTCTTAGAGAGAGTGGGTGATATGGAACTCACTGTGGAGAGCCAGGCTAGTCTGGAACTTGTGAAGTGTTAGAAATAGAGATGTGTACCATAATGCTCTACTCCCACACTTGAACTTTCAGCTTTATGTATGTATACCACATACGAGCCAGCTGTCCATAGAAGAGGACATTGGATCCCTTGGAACTGGGGTTACAGATGTAGGGAGCAAAGCTCTTAACTGCAGAGCCATCTCTTCAGCTTCTCCCATCCCCCAGCGCCCCCCCCCCCCCCCCCCCCCCCGGTTTCTTTGTGTAGCTTTGGCTGTCCTGGGATTTGTTCTGTACACCAGGCTGGCCTCGAACTCAGAGATCCCCTTGTCTCTGTCTCCCGAGTGCTGGGATTAAAGGTGTGTGCCACTGTGCCCAGCCAGGTCTTGTAGTATATCTTAATTGTTTTTTTCCTTAAAACAGTCTCATTGCGTAGCCCAAGCTGGCCCTGAACGGGCGGGTGACCCTCCTCTGCTGGGATAGCAGGTGTGTGACATGACGCCTGGATGTGTCTGTTTTCTTTTTTCTCTTTTTAAACTTAACGGGTTAATTTGTAGAATTACAAAATAATAATAATAATAATAATAATAATAATAATAATTATTATGTGTGTCTGTGTTTGAATTTATGCATGCTAAGTGCTGTGCCCAGAGGCTGGAAGAGGATGTTGGATTCTCTGGAGTTGGAGTCTAACATGGGTGCTGTGAGCCAAATTGGGTCCTCTGTAAGAGCAACACACACTTATGTAATGCTTTGCCGTCTCTCCAGCCCCTGATTTGTAGAATTTATTTGCTCATTGTGTAGGGCCGTAGCTCTTCGTTGAGTATTCATTTCTGTATGGAATTCTGCTACACTGTAATTAATGTTATTGTTGATAGACTATTATAAATAGATTAGTTATTTGCATACAGGTAGATTACCTGGAGTATATTGCATGTGTTTTGTTCTCTAAAAATCTCTGTATAGAATTGCACTTCTGTCAGTAATTTATGTAAGTAGTCCTCATCGCTCCACACACTCTTCAACATTTAGTATCTTCACACTTTATGTTTTAGCTGGCATAGTGGAATATTATGGAATTTTTTTGTCATTTTAATTATAGTTCTCATTATTTATGAATTTTCATGGTTGGTGAGTATCTGCATAGAAATGTTACTCTGACTTGTTTTTGCCCTTTATCATAAAATTGTAGTTTATTGAACAGAAGTTATTTTAATATGGCCGAAATGACCACTTCCTCCCCTCATGGGGGCTTTTGTGTTCTAAGATAAACTTTTATCACAAAGTCAATTTTGTGCCTTTTCCTTTTGCTTGTACTTAGATTTATAATTTCATTTGAAAATCTTTTTTCCTTTTTTTTCTTTTTGTTTGGAGACAGGGTCTTACTGTGGAGACCTCTGTGAATTTGAGGATGGCCTCAAACTCCCAGAGATCCACCTGCCTTTGCCTTTGAAGTGCTGGGATTAAAGGTGTGCACAGCCATGCCTGGCAACTACAATACATTTTTTTTTCTTTTCCCCATAAGAATAAATGAAATGTATCTTAGTAGATCCTTTCATTCAAAAGTCTGTCCTGTGTGTTCACTCTTCAGTGACCTCCTACACTTCATGTGAGTGTCCCTGTGTGTATGGGGCTTGGGAGCGCTGATGGTATTCTGAATGGTCTTTACAATACGTTTTCATATGTAGCAGAACTTTGTTTTCCCTTCTAAGAGTATTTGTCTATCTTGTACATTCTTAGCTCTTTTCATTTTGACATCAGTTTTAGAATCATTTTGTGAGATTCCACGTTGTTTGGGATTAAATTGAATTTTATCAGTCATTTTCAGAAGAATTTAATTTTTTAAAGATTTATTTATGTTTAGAAAAACAGTTTATGCTGGGAATCAAACTCGGGTCTTCTGGACGAGCATCCAGTGGCCTTAAATGCCGAGCCATCTCTTCATCTTGGTAGTTTCCTCTTTACTGCCACGCAGTTAACATTGGTCAGTTCTTGGGTCATTTCCTGTGCTACGAGATGCCTTTTCAGAAAGTCCCTGTTTGTGCCTATTTCAAGTGCTTTGTCTATTTCTTCCCTCCAACACTTTCAAATTTGAAGTCTTAAATTAAGATCTTTGGCCCATTTTGAATTGATTCTTGTGCTGGAAGAGAGATAGGTACCTAGTTGCATTATATGTGGGAATGGCCAGCTTACCTAATACCGTGTGTTTTTGTGGGGACACCATACTGTTTCTGTAACTGTGGCTCTGTAGTGTAGTTTGATAATTAGGTATTTTGATATTTCCAGCATTGCCTTTTCTGCTTAGGATTGCTTTTGTGTTTTTATATTATTTTAGGATTGCTAGTTCTGTGTGGAATGTAACTGAACTTTTGATGGGGCTTGTGTTCTAAGGGTTTGTTTTGATGCTCTTGGTAACGTCTTGAGGCGTATGTGCTTAGCTCAATAATGCCAGTCTTCTTTTTTCAAACACATTCATTTAAGGATATACATTTCTGTTTGCAAATTCTATAACCCACAAATTAGATTATGGAGCCCATTCATTGTTAAGATGGAAATAATGTTCAGAATCTCATCATGGTTTTTACCTTTTGACTCATCTTATTGACAATAATTTCAGAACAGATGACATTTACATAGTGCTTAAGGGTTTTTGATGTTTCCACAGCTGCACAAAGTGAATGGCTTCGTGTGCATTTGGATATGTTCTCACCCACAATTGCTAGCAAGTTTGTGGAGGGAGAGGGTAATAAAATTTATTCTTGTATATGTTTCAAATTTGCTATTTGAGTTACCATACATTTCTCACTTCAAGTCCAAGCGTTTCTTTTTAAAGTAGTAAAGTATTTCCATTCATGCTTTGTTTTGGTTTGTCTTTGTCTTAGCTGTGTCGGTGTAGAAGAGCATCATGCTGTTGACATCGACTTATACCACTGCCCCAACTGCGCAGTCCTACATGGTTCTTCCTTGAGTAAGTACTGGACGCTTAAGTGAAAATTAAATGTTTGAAACGTAGCATGGAAATGGTGGTAGTTTTGTGGTACTCTAATTAATATTATAATACCAAGAGCTGTAGGGCAGATTTCATTGAAAATACAGTACAGTTTTTGTCTAAAAATAATAAAGAAAAATTTGAGGTAGTCTAGTTACATAGCCTGTAGTGGCCCCCAAATTTCTTTATTTCTTTCTTTTTTGTTTTCAAGACAGGGTTTCTTTGTGTAGCTCTGACTGTCCTGGGACTCGGTCTGTAGATCAGGCTGGCCTCAAACTCACAGATTCACTTGACTCTTCACTCTACACACACACACACACACACACACACACACACCCAGAACTCAGGCTGGCCTCAAACTCACAGATTCACTTGACTCTTCACTACACACACACACACACACACACACACACACACACACACCCAGAGCTGGGATTAAAGGCCATGCTGCCAACTCAAGGCTCGGTCCCAAATTCTTGATCTTCCTGCCTCTGCCTCCCAAGTGCTGAGATTCCAGATAATAAGCCTTTGTTTGAATTATTAAATATGCCACAAGAAAAAGGGAGAAAAATACATTTTAAAAAATTTATTTATTCTTGTAAATTCCATTTTACATTTCAACCACAGCTCTTCCTCCCATCCTTCCTCCTGCCCCTTAAATACTAACATGGAGAGCCCTCAAATTTAAGAGAGCGCTCAAATTTAAGTACATCTTAAAAAAAAGCCCTTGCAATTTACTAAACATGGCAAAGAAAAACTTTCCTGATTGTGGAAACCCGTGTGACTGACATTATCCTGTTGAATCGGAGTAGTATGCAGAGTTAAGATTTGACTTTAACGGACAGCTGCGAATAGTGTATTAGGAGAAAATCAGGGTATTGATAGGTAAACTATAGCATGTACTTACAGAACTTGGTTGTCAAAGACTATCCGCTTAAGACTCCTTTATTCCCCACTCCTGGCGACCATGGAAAGATCAAGACGGATGAGGATAAGGCCAGAGCAGGTCTCTGGTGAGTCTTTTCAGAGCAGATAAGGTAAAGGCTGGAGTGATTTTCTTCCACTAGTCTATAGAGTAGACCAGTATTAGAAACAAAAGAATATTCATATTTGGTCTTTTACAGATAATTCCAAAGACAAAATTTAGATATTATTGTTCAGATTCAAGAGAAAATATTTAAAAGGCTTTAGAATATAGCTATTTATTGACAAATTTTGACTGCAAACTGTAATTTTTGTGTTCATAAAATTAAAGGGAAACTAGACTTTATTTTGAAACTAGAAAGAGGACTGGAGAGATAGCTCAGCTATAAGGGATAAGACTCAGACTTCAGTTTCCAGCACCCAAATTATCAAAGTCGTCTCTCTGGTTTCCACTTCCTGCACTTGGGAGGCAGATTTCTGTGCGTTCAAGGATTGCCTAGTTTATGTAACAGGCCAGCCAGGGGTGCATAGTGAGACCTGTCTCAAAAGCATACAAAATGAAACAAGAAGGGACCTTTGAGTGAGGGCGCTCTGATAACTGTGGCTGGTGTGTAGGTAATTTATAGAATTTATAGCCTCTTCGTTTTGAATATGGACTTTTGCCTGCCTTGTACTATTCTAAGTAAAAATTTTGTTATATGAAAATAGCATGTAAATGAGACTTAGTAACAGTTTGGCTGATCATTTATTAGAAATATTAATTTTTATAACCCCCTTATAAAATATGTAGGAATTTAAGCTGCAGTAATGCATAAGAATAGTTTATATCAAACACAGGTTACTTGTTTTCATAGTATACAGAATAAAACTTAAATTCAAGACACCTGGTAAAATTGTCACATGAGTCTTGTTTGGTGGAACACTGATGTATGTTGTATATAATAAATTAAATATGTTTTGGTCAAGAATAAGTCAGGAAGAAGTAAATAGTACAGTATTTTTATTTCAGGTGAAACAACTTTCATATCAGTTTTGGTGTAAAATTCAAGTATCTATTCCCTATATGAAATGACTTGAATTTTATTTGTATGAAATACTGAGTTACTAAGAGGCAGTACTACTTTAAACAATGCAGTCTATTTTTCCATATGATGTCATATTTTTAAAATCTATCACACTTGCTAAATTGATTATATGGACCATAATAGATTGTAACCTACCCTTTGAATAATGATGCTTCAAAGAGAAGCTTGCCTATGACTTGGCCCTTCAAGCTCCTCTTCTCTTGGAAAAACTTCATACCATGCATCGGCCATCTTCTGGGCAAGCATCCAACTTGGGGAAGATGCTCAAGATTCAGTCATGTATTTTGTCTTGACATAAGGCTCACCTTCCCCCATACTTCACCCACTTCCTGTTCCTGTCAGAATATCCCAGATGTCTTTGTTATAGGTATAATCGAGACACTGTAATACCCACTTAACAAGGTGCATATACTCTGTGGTTGGGAGTTAAGACCCTGATTTTAACGCAGAGCACTGCTCAGCATTTGTTCTGTGTGCTCCTCAGGCACATGCGCCCAGGCAGACCTTTTCTCCCTTTGCCTGTGACTTCTACTCAAACTAACCCTTCACTGCCTTCCTCTTAGACAGATTCAGGCAGCTGTCGTAGTGCATGATTTTATGTTTCAGGCTTGTTGGCCAAATAGGACAGTTGCATCTTTCTCCTACGCTATAAGTCATCACATTAAAGGAAGTTATAGAAGGAAGTTACAGTGTTGGTAGGTTATTATATACCAGATTTCATAGTGAGAAAATACTTGACCTATATTGTCTCCTACAATATGTGCAACAAAGTTATGTGAGATATAAGAGAAAGTATCTAATTAAATATTGTGTAGTTATTCATCAAAGGTGTAGTTTGGATCCATAGCTATCATCAAAAATTGAGTATATTTTACTGATTATTGTGCTCTGCAAAAATTAATATAAAAAATGGAACATGTGGCTGGGCCTGATGGCGCATGCTTTAATCCCAGCACTTGGGAGGCAGAGGCAGCCTGGTCTAGGAAAGCCAGTATTATGTAAAGAAGCCTTTGGCTGGGGGATGGGGAGGGGTGGGAGGGTGAGGGTGGGGGTGGCGGGGGGGGGCAGCATCAGCATTATAGTTCACTTAGCAAGTGATGATGCCTGTTGTTTTAACACAGAGCTGCCTGTATGGTAGGAATGTGAATTACTCACACTTTCCTGAGGTCATTTTGTAGTATATAACAAATATCTTTTAAAATAGTGCTGTTTGTATTAGTTTTTCTGTTGCTGTGATAAAATTCCATGACCAAGGCAACTTATGAAAGAAGTTTACTCAGGTCTATGGTTCAGCTTATTATGGTGGAGAACTCACATCTCTATTCCTAAGCAGGGGGCAGAGATAGTATACTGGGAATGGTCACCAGTGACATTGCTCCTCTGGCAAGGCCACGCCTCCTACTCCATCCCAAACAGCCAGCTGGGGGCACCTCAGTCAGATGGTCACACTTCCTTCTAGCACTGCTGGAGATGTATCTGGAGGGGTTAAAACAGAAAGATTTATGTCAGGGCTGTTAATTACGGTGCTCTGTGAAGAGAGATGGAGAGAAGCGGGGTGCCTGTCCTGGTCACTTTTATACAGCTGCAGAGCAACTGAGACTGGGGAATTATGGGAGTTGGGAAGTATTCAGGGTCCCTGACAGTTTCAAAGGGTTAGAGCCCACCATGGCGGAGTAACAGCTGAGAGCTCACAGCTTGATGAACAACCATGAGGCAGAGGCAGAGGGAGAGAGGGAGAGAGGGAGAGAGAGGGAGGGAGGGAGAGAGAGGGAGGGAGGGAGGGAGGGAGAGACAAGGAGGGAGGGAGGGAGAGACAAGGAGGGAGGGAGAGAGAGGGAGACAGGGAGGGAGGGAGGGAGGGAGAGACAAGGAGGGAGGGAGAGAGAGGGAGAGAGGGAGGGAGAGACAGGGAGGGAGGGAGGGAGGGAGAGACAGGGAGGGAGGGAGAGAGAGGGAGAGAGGGAGGGAGAGACAGGGAGGGAGGGAAGGAGGGAGGGAGAGAGAGGGAGGGAGGGAGCACTGGGAATTGCGTTATTTTGAACATCAAAGCTTGCCCCCAGTGACAACAGCTCTTCCAATAAGACCACTTTTTAATCCTTACCACGTAGCTCCACTAACTAGGGACCAAGTGTTCAAACACATTAGTCTCTGGGATCCATTGTCTTTCAAACCACTGTGCTAAAGAATCAAAAATAATTACGACGTGGCACATCTACACCTTGAAATTGTTGTTGGCTTTTAAATTGCTTTTGGGTATTGAATAGGTATAAAAACATGTGATGAAGATGAAAAGTTTCATGTCTGTGTACAGTAGAGGGGAACCTATACTAAGGTGCACTTGAATTGTGGGAATGGTTTTAAAGATTTGTTCTTATTTTTATGTGTGTTTGTGGTCTGTCTGTATATGTATGTGCACCCATGTGGGTGCCTGAGAGGGGTCCAGAAGAGGTCACCGGAGAAGGCCTGGTGCAGGTGGTTGGACCTGAACTCTAGTGTTCCGCAAGAGCAGCAAGGGCTCTTATCTGCTGAGCTATGTCTCTAGCCACTGTGTGAACGATTCCCAATGAGAAAAATAACACACAAAGGACACCTTAGTGGAATTTCCTAGAAAGATTCAACCGTCATTCAAAGTTTTCTTGGGAGATGTAAAGTGGGGTGGGGTGACTCTTAGCCTCTTCTGTGCTGGAGATCTACTCTCAATTAGTGACTCGAGGACCTTGTTTTAGACTCTCAGATGTACATAATCTTGATTTCTACATTTGTTGGTTACATTTGTGACCTTTATCTAGATGGGGATCCAGTGTTAGGACCTTGGTAAGGGAAATACTTAAAATAACTTGAAATTAGACTGGGTATAGCTCAGTTGGTAGAGCATGAATGAAATCCAGAGTGTGGTTCCCAGCACTACATAAAGCCGGATGTGGTTATGTGCTTGCCATGTCTACAATCCTGCACTCCAGGAAGTGGTGTCTGGATTATCAAAAGTTAAGGTCATGTAGCCTGGGTACAGGTGACCTTGCCTCAAAAATAATAAAATATCTTGAAATCACGTGGTTGTTTTCTCTGTAACATTTTGTTATGAAAAAGTTCAAACATACAAGAAAAGTTGAAGTAGTTTTACAGCAAGTGCCTAGAAGACTTCACATACTATTATCATCTTCTATCACTCACCCCTTATTTTTCCATGTAATTATACCGCTGTCAGTTGATCTTACTATTTAAAAAAATCTATTTCTAAGGAAGTTGCTGACATCAGTAACAGAAAGTTAGAATGTTGGGAGTTTTAGACTTTCAGAAGGATTCTTTTATAATTAAAACTTATCATCTAAACAGAAACAGGAGGATTATGAGTTCTAAGTTAGGTGGTGTTACATGGTTAGTTTTCCTGAAACACGCACACAAATACAATGAAACCTTACTGGTATCACACAAACGAGCTACAGTAAGGCAGTAATAGAGAGGTACCCACTTTCTCCATTGGCCATCTTCCTCTTTGTTAAGGGTGCTTTAGGTGTACTTTTAAAATCAGCACACTAATCCATCTCCTTCATTCCCACTTTGAGGAATCTGGATCCAGAGGTGTCAGATGACCGTCCCAAGGTCGCAGAGGAAGTTGATGGATGAACTAAGAATCAAATATAGGTCTCCTGATTTTCAGGGTTAGGACTAATGAAGATCATCTCTCCCTCCCAGCTTTAGACCCATAGGAATTTAGTGCCTCAACTAACCTTGAGGTGTTTGTGTGCTTTGTCACAGCACTGGTCTTGTTTATTTATGTCCTGGTAAACTGTTATATTCTTTGTGTCATTATGTGCTTATTTGGAGATGAAAGCCTTACATGAACAAGAATAACGTTATAATGTTGAAATGGAGTTTTGATGCCTTATCCTGAGAAGATAATTTGGATGATGTGGTTAATCATAGGATGACTCATTGTTTTAATAAACTAATTTTAAATAATTTGGAAATGATATTGTATGGCTAAATGTGCTTTTAATTGCTTTAGTTTTTTAAATTATTTTGAATAATGGTCAGGCTTTTAAAAACCCACAGTGAATTATTTATAATTACAGCATTAGCTTTTGTAAACTTTTCTTTTGTGGCCTGGGAATGCGATTACAAACCTGAGTGTTTTCATTGTACTCTATGGCTGTTACCTGTGATTGTGTAGACCACGACAGTTAGATAGCACAGAGTATGCCCGTCACCAAAGCGCTTCTTTTCCCCACCTTGCAAATGCAGTGAGGAAGAGGAGAAACTGGCACAGGCATGACTACACAGAAGCGGACGACGGCTCCAAGCCCGTGCAAGCCGGGACCAGGGCCTTCGTCACAGAGCTGCGTTCCCGCGCCTTCCCAAGGTAGGGACCTTGTTCTGGCTCGCACAGATCAGCAGCATTGACTGTTAAAGTGGAATGGTCTAAAGTGGTCTTTCAAATTCGGGTGGCACCGTGACATTGGTGTCCGCTGCTTTTCACTTTTTCTGTAGAGGAAGTAGAAACTGTCATTACGGTCATAGCAGTAATTAGGCTTAGTTTCATGAAACTAATGTTATATATACGCAGATTGGGTCACCATGTAAAAGGTGGGTTGAATTTGAATCACACTGATTTGAAGCATCATCTCTGACACCTTCTGATAATGCGGCCACTGTTCGTTCTTGTCACCTTTCCCTGACTTGCACGTCCATTTTCTCAGACCCCTGTGCCAGCTGCCTGTGCCCCGGGCCCCCAGAAGCTTGCAGGGGCTGTTGCTTAGCCTCTGATGGCGTCAGGTCTGAACATTTTGAGTCTGAAAAATAATAGAGTATATTTGAGTTGCTAGGCTAAGAGAGAGTATAAAGTATAAAGAGAGAGTATAAAGTATAAAGTATTAATCATGCTAATTCAGATCATTCCCTACTCACTGCCTGACATCTATTTAAAGAGATAATGCTTAATAGATTTACACAAGATCATACCTCAGCTTGTTAAAGACGGAGCACAATTTAAATCACACTATCAAGTTTAGCCTATTATGGAATTTCTTTTAGATCCTGAAATGAAAACCCTGAGATTTTTTTTTTTCTGCTTACTTCCCCACCTTTTAGTCCTAAAACTGAAACAAAGAAAAACCATCCACATTTACCTCCCTCAGGTTGCCTGAGAAATAGAAAAGATATGAAACAATGTTTCCACCTGATTTTTATTGAATTAAGTGTCTTGTTCTCAAGCTGTCAGTTACCAATTTCCAAGTTGTAAGAGGGAGTTTGCTTGTTTTCCTTTTTTACTGGGCAATGCTTGATTGATTTGGGGCCTAGCCCTAGACTTTTCTCTGAGCCTATTTACAGGTCTCAGGGGTATTTATTTTATGTTCTTCCAAAAGTATCAGTGCAAATTAGTGTCTGTGGGTATACATTTTTTCAGAGGAAGGAGATAAGGCTTTCACTTATTTCAAAGACTTGTGACTGTAAAATCATAAGTAAGTCATAATGCTTTCTGCCACAGCTAACACAGATGAGAATAGATTAGAGCTGATCACAAATGTCCAGACTGTTACTGCTGTTAACTGAAGGGCTGCTTTTAATTAACTCTAGAAGCTTTGGGTCATTTAAACCATAGTAAAGTAATAATAAGTGTTGAATTAAACATAGTTGATGTAATTTACATAAAATAAATTGAATGGGTTTTCACAGTCCCTCTAAGGCTTAATGTAAGTCTTTTGAGCTTTTCTTTCTACATCAAAACATTTGTGTTTATAGATCTATATATGTATAATCCTCCCCCCCCCCCACCCCCGGACAGGGTTTCTCTGGGTAGCTTTGGAGCCTGTCCCGGAACTAGCTCTGTAGACCAGGCTGGTCTCGAACTCACAGAAAATCACCTGCCTCTGCGTCCTGAGTGCTGGGACTAAAGGTGTGTGCCACCACCACCCGGCTTATATATAATTCTTTAAAGATGTGATTGTGTTAGCAATGGTGTTATATATAGTTTGCTCTTGTTTATGATCTAGATCTTAGGTTCCTTTTCAAATGATTGCATAATTTGCCTCATTCCATAACTATTGTACTGAATCCAATATTTTACATTCTCATATGATCTATTATTTAAATACTTTGTGCAGTCTGTGAAAGTTTTAAAGAGGAGAATTAGGTTGAGAACCACTGACATAACTACTTCTAAATTCTTTCTCCATGTTAGTTCATTATCACAGAACTTTTATAAGTGGCTTATTAATAAAAATGACATTATGTGGGCTGGAGAGATGGCTCAGTGGTTAAGAACACCAGCTAGTATTCTAGAGGTTCTGAGTTCAATTCCCAGCAACCACATGATGGCTCACAACCATCTGTAATAGGATCTGGTGTCCTCTTCTGACCTGCAGGAATATATGCAGACAGAACACACTACATACATAATAAATAAATCTTAAAAAAAAAAAAAACAAAGAACCAAAAAAAAAAAAAAATGACATTATGTTTTTCCTAGTGCCGATGAAATTGTTGTAAAGATGCATGGCAGTCAGCTGACACAAAGATACCTGGAGAAACATGGATTTGATGCTCCTATTATGGTCCCTAAATTAGATGACCTTGGACTCAGGCTCCCTTCAGCGACCTTTTCAGTGATGGATGTGGAACGTTATGTAGGTACGAAATGGGTTTCTTTACGTACTTGAAAAAAAAATATAAATAAAAAAAATATAAATGATAGTGTCTTAACAGTATTGATATGGAATGGAAAATGCCTTTTGGATGCTTCCTAAGGATCAGGAAAAGTCAAATCTAATAGTGCTTCTGTTGAAGCAACTCCGCTAAGCAACTCCACAGACCAACAATGGTCAGAAAAGAATGAAACCTTTTTCTCTGTTCTTGTTTGTCAGCCTACCCTATTACATTGGATATTTGTATAGGGAAAGTCTTTACTGAAGGGCAGCCACAGATTCCAAGAAGACACGAGGAGCTGGATAGGTTCTAGCATCTGCAAAATGGCAGTAGCAATTCTGAGCCTAGTGTTCTCTATCCTGTTTGTTGACCTCCGGTCTCTTATAGGAAGGCCTGTAAAAAGAGAAGATTCAGTTCAAACATGTCTCTATGTTAGTGACTTGGTCAGCATTGCCATTTAATGACACCTGGACTGACTTGTGATTTTGAGACACAAGAAAGTAAGAAATAAGGCAAAAATTACCAATTGTCAGATTCTTGATATTTTTATTCCTTTCATTTATTCTCATTATAAAGTTTACAGATAAAGCTGGTAATATGTACATGCCACTTGGTAACAAAAGTTATTTGAAAATCGAAAATCAGATCTCAAAATTATGTGTCCAACACTGTACATTCATTCCTTGGCATGTCATATTGGATTTCTCCCTTTATTCATTTTCATTGATAATTGTTTCTTCAGAAAAACCTGTTAAATGCCCTGACTGAAACATTTATCTAAATGTATGTATGATAAACTAGGGATTAAGGTTTAGATTTAACTTAAACCTAATTGCCTTTAAAATAAATCGTTAGTGTAACTTAATTATAGGAAAGGTTGTTCAGATGCTAAAGAGATGGCTCAGAGGTTAAGAGCACTGGCTGCTCTTCCAGAGGTCCTGAGTTCATTTCCCAGCAACCACGTGATGGCTTACAACCATCTGTGATGAGGTCTGGTGCCCTCTGCTGGCCTGCAGGCATACATGCAGGCAGAATGTTGTATACATAATAAATCTTAAGAAAAAGTTGTTCAGACTGCTTTATCCAGTAACTTTTAGTACTGCAAAGCTCTTCAGTTATAATAACAGTAGAACTGTTAGGCTTTATATGAAGATAAATCTAAGCCAAGAGCTGGAGAGATGGCTCAGAGGTTAAGAGCACTGGCTGCTCTTCCAGAGGACCTGCAGCCCTCAGATTTAGACTCTTACGCATTATAGAAATTAAAGAGAAAAGCCAATCTCCTCCTTTATGAATGAGGAAATTGAAACCCAGTAAACAGTGGACAATTTTCATATCCCAATTTAATGTATTTTTTTTGCCATTATGAGCTACCCATAAGAAATCATTGATATATATATAGAAGGCTCAGTAAATTATGTTTTTATGTCTATTTATTATGTGTAGTTTTTTAGTTGAGTTAGTTATCATAATAAGCAGATATGGATTTTAGTATTTTCGTTTAGAGTATCTATTTATGCAACTTTTAAGGTCAGTAATGCACTCCGGAGGCAGAGGCAGGCAGATCTCTGAATTTTAGGCTAGCCTGATGTACAGAGTGAATTCCAGGACAACCAGAGCTACATAGAGAAACCCCCACCAAAAAAAGGGTCAATAACAAGACTAATCTTGTTTTCCTCTACAGGTGGTGACAAAGTGATAGATGTCATTGATGTGGCAAGGCAGGCGGACAGCAAGATGACACTTCACAACTATGTTAAATATTTCATGAATCCTAACAGACCAAAAGTGCTGAATGTGATCAGCCTTGAATTTTCAGATACAAAGTGAGTATCTGGATAGTTTGCCTTAGCATTCTCAATTTTAGCTAAATGTAGTTTAATGGTGTGTTAATTTTAATAAGCATAACTGTGACTTTTATAGCTATCCATTCGAAGCAGTGTTGTAAATTTTGCTTTGCCAGGCTCATAGAATATTTACAAACAAGATGTAGCTGGCATAGTGGCGCACAGCTTTAATCTCAGCGCTCAGGGTGCAGAGGCAGGAGAATCATTGTGGGTTCAAGGCCAGCCTGGTTCCAGGGCAGCCAGGGCAGCCAGGGCTGCACAGTGAGACCGTGTCTCCAAAGCAGCGGCGGTGGCGGTGGCGGTGGCGGTGGCGGTGGTGGTGGTGGTGGTGGTGGTGATTATGATGATGAAAACAATGGCATAAAATGTATTTTAAATGTATTGTTAATCTTGAATTCCATTTAATTGCTTGGTGCTTGGTTTGGTTTGACATGGGAAGAATAGTTTTAAGAAATCTTTAAGTTGTATTACGTTGGTATGTATATATGTATTTTTTTTTCTTTTCTTTTTAAGGATGTCTGAATTGGTGGAGGTCCCTGATGTAGCCAGAAAACTTTCCTGGGTGGAAAATTATTGGCCAGATGACTCGGTCTTTCCTAAGCCCTTTGTCCAGAAATACTGCTTAATGGGAGTTCAAGATAGCTATACAGATTTCCACATTGACTTTGGTGGGACTTCTGTCTGGTACCATGTCCTTTGGGTAAGGAATAGGGTATTTCTTATTTTTTCTTAATTAAAAACATGCCTTATTTTTCTGGTAGGACATCCATTTGCTCTGTGTAACATTTGTAAACACGTAAATGTTTTTCTGCTCCTTAAACATTTTATGCCTCAGAGCATTCTTTTTTATTTTTTTTATTTTTTTAACGTTTCAGGTAATAGAAAAGGCATGGGATACTGAGATCCCTTTTTTACGTCTATATTTTAAGTTTATTTGTTAGCCTTCTGTCTCTTTTTTCTCTTCTCCTTAGTCAATTCACATTAATCTCCGAACCAAATGACTAAGAAGGAACATGATGATGATGATGATGATGATTGCTTCTGACCTTAAAATGAGAATGAGAAAACAAGTCTATAAATCACAAATGTCTATAAGATTACTAATTCTTTTAGTTTTTATTTTTTCTTCTTTATCCCGAATTGCATTGCCTAATAAACATTAGCCTTATGTGGCTAGATTTAAATAATTAAACTTTAGTATAATTAAAAAAATCACCCTAGTTATATTACACCTAGCTAATGACTTCTATACTGGAGCGATAACACAATTAAACAATTTAAAGAATTTTCCTTCACATTACTCAGCGACTCGCCCAGGACTGGATCTGATTCAGATTCCAGGGCCTGTGTAGTACTCTGGAATGGAGTTGATGCTGTGTCCTTGAGATCTGGTCTTTTCTCTGAGGATGCCAAGGACTCACTAAAAGGAAGTTTATTCACAGGTTTTTAAATCTGTAAAAACGTACCGATAAGATCTTCCTGGTTCTGAAGATGAAGTGTGTGAGATGACCCTGCTGTGGCATGACCTCCTGTTTGTGGGTCTTTGTCTTTCTTTGATAGGATTGTTGACTTTGTCAGTTGGAGGTGGGGGGAGTTTTAGTTCCTGTGAACTTGCTGAGTAGGGAATTAGCGGCTGATCAAATATGTGACTTTTGAATCTAAACAAAGTCTCTTTAAGTTTAACTTAGATCCTTTTATTGGGAAATTGTACCAGTGTAGGCCATCCTGAGAATGGCTTTTCTTTTTCAAAGTAGTATGATTACTTCCTTCTAGGGTGAGAAGATTTTTTATTTGATAAAGCCAACAAATGAAAATTTGGCACTCTATGAATCTTGGAGTTCATCTGTGACCCAGAGTGAGGTGTTCTTTGGAGATAAAGTAGATAAATGCTACAAGTGTGTGGTAAAGCAGGGACATACCTTATTTGTTCCTACAGGTAAGGTTTTCATTTCCCCCCCTTCTTCCGTGGTTGCTGAGGGCTGGGCTGGTCCAGGGCTTTCCCTGAGGCCTTGATGCATGGAAAACACAGATCCTTGTCTAAAGCCAGGAACGTGCTTGGCAGAGCCAGTAATGGCCCATGGCTGGGACCTCGGGAGAGCTGCTTCAAACCCTGAGAGCCCAACTCTCCCGCCCTCCAGGGCTGTGGCGGTCAGTCCCAAGGCTGCTGTCCACTCTGTGTGTGAAACTCTTGAGAGACGCTGTGCTTTTCTCCCGCAGCATTGTTTGTTCACCTTTCCACTGTCTTCGCTCTGCTGTGTGGTAGTTTCTGCCAACTTGCTGTATGTCTAAATAAGCTTGCTTGGCATCAGACAGTTTGTACAGCATCTCCTGATTTCTTTACCTTCTCATCTCCTGGCCATCTCCAACTTAGGACCCTGTGCCTGAAGACCCACCTGCTGGTCTAGGTTAGCTGATAGTGAGTCACATGGAGTCAGCTTATAGTTAGAACCAACTTTGGCTTGAACGTACTTGTTAAGTAAAACATAGCTTTTATGGACTTACCTAAGAAGGACTAAGAACTTTTGACTTGACTGCTCCTTAGAGGACTTAATCACCATCCTATTAAATGGTACAATTTAATGATTTTTAATAGATCAGTGTGATCACATAACCATCACTGCCATCTGAGTGGACACTCGTTCCCTCGTGTCCAGAAGAAACTCCATACCTTTTAGCAGATCCTGCCATCCCCCACTTGCTGGACCCCTAGCAACTACTAATATACTTTCTATGCGTTTGCCTGCTTTGACGCTTACTACATCTCCTCCTTTTGTGTGTGGCCTCTTCCCTCTGTCTGGTCTTCTATCTCTCCTCTCCTGCTTTTGTTTGTGTGGCTTTTGGGTGTTTGTTTGGGTTTTGGACACGGTCTCACAGCTCACGCTGGCCTGTAACTGAAATGACTTTGAACCTCTGACTCTCTTGCCTCTCCGGAGTGATGAGATTGTAGACATGGCTGTCACCCCGGCTGTGAGGGACTGGCATTATTTTCCCTAATCCTTCCTTGGCTCACCTGTGTCATAGCATGTATGAATGCTTACTCTTTTCTTGCCTAACAGTATTCCTTTTCAGGGTATACCATAGTTTGCTTACCATTCATTAGTTGATAGATACTTGGATCGTTTTCTGCTTTGTGATTTTATGAATAGTGCTATTTTGAACAGTTGCACAAACTTTTATATAGAGGCATGTTTTCATTTGAGTATGTACTAAATAAAATCGTATTACTTAACAATGCCTAACTCTTTGAGGACCACCACACTTCTCCGTACTGTGTGTCTCAAGCATAGGCATTGGTATGTTGCTTGGCAATGTGAATATACTCTCTGGGCCCATGGTGTTGAGAACAGGGTTCTTCTGGCTGGGGTGACCTAATGGTTATAGGGTTTACAGGGCTCTTACTATATGCTCTGCTTTTCTACCTTGCCTCTGGTGTAAAGAGTAACTTAATGAGTCAATATCTAGAAGTGTTAGGATTTAGGTCAAGATTTTGAAAGGCTAGCTTTAGATCTTCTCCTAGTGCTATTTATTATACTTTTTCCATTGTATCCTTTTTAAAATAAAATTGAAGTTCATAGATTATAAGTCAGTTTAGTGGTCTACTGGAGTGTGTAAGGAAGAAGTTAAAAGATGATTTATGAAGAAATGCTGCTTTTTATGTGCCTGTACTCACAGCAACATTAGAGTTACAGGTCTGCAAACCATTACATGTGAGCTAGGGATGGCTGAGATTCATCAGCATTGGGGCAGCTTGGGGTCTGTCCAGCCTCATGGAGAATAAAGATCACCAAGAGGGCCTCACACAGACTTCCGGCTCTCTCTCAGACTCTCCTTCCACGAGTGCAGGACAGGCCTGAGAGTTTGCCTCTCTAAGGGCTGCTGACTGATGGTGCTCGGTTCTGGGCTGCATTCAGGCCATCACTGCTGTAAGAATGACTGGTAACTTTCTGAACAAACTATGCTATAGCTTTCTTTAATTTATAGAGCAGTCGTATTCCTGGAAATGGTGCCCAAACCACGTATAAGTACATTTTTAAAATATGGAAGTTTAGTTTCTAGCCCTGGTTTTTATTGAACATGGTTTGTTACTTATATGAATGCCCAAAAGAATTTGTATTGTTTTGTCTTTATGTTCAGTCTGTTAACATTTAAAAAGTTAGACATCATCTGTTAGAAATGTCTCTCATTTTGAAAACACCCTAGTGGGAACAAAACATTTAATCATCGGCATTTAACTTTACATGTGGGTGATCTGTCTTGCCTTCTGCTGGAGCGGAGTGTCACATTGTATTTCCTGGTCTTTCCCTGTGTGTTCCTTTCAGGGGACTTCATGCTGACACTTGGGAAGCAGATTGCTTAGCCAGCCTTATATCTTTAACGGAAAGTGTCATTTCCTAATCAAATCAGATTTGACTGGCCTCGGGATAAACTTTTTCATTGTAAAGGTGTTAAAAACAATCAGTGGTCACTATCCCAAAGCCCCACTCTCTTCCCTCAGACTCAGCACCAAGCCTGGCTTATTATAGGCTTTTAATGAGTACTCAAACGAATAGTCAACCTGTGGTCATAAGCACCAGCTTCTTTAGTGCTGGGGTAAGAAGTAAATTGGCATTGGTATTTAAGTTGTTGACTTCACTGGTAGAATGACTTGTGTTTAGTTAGCAATTGAAACGCTGCTGATTTGTGTGTTTCAGGGTGGATTCATGCTGTGCTCACTTCTCAGGACTGTATGGCTTTTGGGGGTAACTTTCTACACAACCTCAACATTGGCATGCAGCTCAGGTTTGTCTCGTCGATATTGAAAGGATCCTTTGTTATTAATTGGAACAATTTTGCTTGTTTCTTATTCAAAAATTGTAATGTTTATTTTGAGATCTTGTGGAAATAGGCCTTGAGGAATGAGTGGGAATGGGAACTTTTGTGTTTGTTTTCCGAAGACAGGGTTTCTCTGTGTAACAGTCCTGGCTGTCCCTAAAACTCACTCTGTAGACCAGGCTGGCCTCAAACTCACAGAGATCCACCTGCCGCTTCTTCCTGAGAGATGGCTAGGAGTGGGAACTTTTTAACAAAAAGTATGCTTTTCTTAGTCTATAAACTAATGTTGTGAAAATGAATTAAATTAATCAATCTGGATGTCACTTATGGAGCTGGAACAATCTTTAAGTCAGGATTGCTATTAGGACACCTTTGAATTTTGTTGTGGTAAAGGGTAGGCAGTTATTTTCCTTTCAGAGAGCTCTGCCTGTTTGCTGACTTTGTTCTTTCATTGTACCTCGAAAGGCTTGGGGTTGGTCACATTACTTATGGCACGGGTGCTTCCTGATTGATAGTGCGTGGGGACCGAGAGGGGAAACACCTTTTGGGAGGCACATTGGGGTTCCCACGAGTGGTGACTCTTGGAGCTCTTTCATGCACATTGGAACCCTGGATGCTTGGTGTTTGCAGTTGGCAAGGGAGGAGGTGGTGCCTCTTACACAGCACAAGGCTTTAAGCTGTGGTAGGTTGTGTGCCTATCAGGTATAAGTTTTAATCTTTTTGTACCTCAGCTATTTCTGGAAAAGACATAGCTGCTTCTACATGTTTTGTTGTTAGGACTCTGACAGAAGGCCAATACTGTGCAAATTATGGTCCCTGTCTTTATACCTTGACTAGTGCCAAGCATGGTCTTGATCTTGAATGTTTGGTAGAGCCCAAAGAAACATTGATGATGGGTGTTGTCCAATACACAGAACTGATCTTTATTTAGATCTATTAGTGGAATCTTCATAGAATCCTTTTTTTGTTAAAATTAGAAACAGATCCTAAGAAGTGATCTTTTACAGTACCCAATGTAATTCTTCGAGACAGGGTTTCTCTGTAGCTTTGGAACCTACTCTTGAACTTGCTCTGAAGATCAGGCTGGTCTGGAACTCACAGAGATCCACCTGCCTCTAAAGGTGTACCCCCACCTCAGCCCAGCCCACCCAGTGTAACTCTTTAGTAGACTAGCAAATTTATTAAGGCCAGAACCTGCTTAAGATCACAGTTCAGTGTTGTCAAAAGGTGTTGTTAAGGAAACATACAATCCTTCATATTTATCATGGGCTATTTATTTTCCATTGATTACCTTTGTTAAACTTAAAAGTGATAATTCTAATTATTAAATTTTATTCACTTAGGTGTTATGAAATGGAGAAAAGACTAAAAACACCAGATCTTTTCAAATTCCCTTTCTTTGAAGCCATATGCTGGTTTGTAGCCAAAAGTTTGCTGGAAACCCTGAAAGGTAATGAGTGGTTTGTGCACTTGTGTGATAAGGTGTGGGATTGCAAATTCTTTTGGGGAGACCCTTTGCTAACTTTTAAAATTACTTGATTTCTGTTTTTGACTCTGTATGTATGTGGGAGGGTTGTGCATGTGAGTGCATGTGAGAACTCGGGTCCTCTGCAAGGACAGTGCTACTCTTACTTGCTGAGCCGTCTCTCCTGTCTGGTTTCCCCCTTTAAAAAACGATGCACCTCTTCCCTCTCCCCCAGTTAGCAGTTAGAGCGGTGGGTCTCAATCTTCCCAATGCTGTTACCTTTTAATGCAGTTCCTCATGCTCTGGCGACCCCCAACCATAACATTACTTTGTTGCTACTTCATAACCATAATTTTGCTATTGTAATGAATCATAATATAAATATTGATATGTCATAACCCATAGGTTGAGAACCACTGAGTTAAAGTACCTGGTCTATAGCTATCCCCTCCTTATTCTTGGAAATTTGTCTATATACATATTGGTGTCTGTCTATATACATATTACTGGGAAATAATCATTTCATTTAGTGGGTGAGAGGCCTGCACACATTTTAGTGTCTTGCTCTCAAAAGTGTAGCTTGTATAAATAGATTATTTACCTAACACTTCTTCTGAAATACTTGCTTTAAGAATTAGATTGGGGGATGGGCTGGCCTTGAACTCACTGAGATCCACCTGGCTCTGCCTCCCAAGTGTTAAGGTGTGTGCCATGGGCACACGCTTGTCTATGTGTTGTCCATTACCACAGGCTCACCCTGGGAATAGGAATGGTCATGTTGTTACCTCACAGTACATTCTTCATGCCTGACCTTTTAACTTTCACTGTGAACTGTCTGCCAGCTGTGGTTGTTCTAAAGCATGTGTGATATGATGGGTTAAGTGAGAGCTCATAGTATGAATTTCTAGACTTCATTTCATGCCAGTGACAATAGCAATCAGTCAGTTGCATTTTGTAACGAAGTCAGCCATTGGACAGAACTCAGATCTTCTGCTTCAGCTTCAGCTTACCTGAATTCTGAGCACATAGAAATACCACACTTGAGTTTTTAATCACTCTTTTAAAATCCCAGAAAGGGCATTCATATGTGTGAATGTGATCCGCCTGACTCTGCCTTCTGAGTGCTGGCTGGGATTAAAGGCGTGCACCACCACCGCCCAGCTTGCATTTTTATATTCTTAATGTAAGTATTTAGTATCATTACACTTAATGTAGTTATTTCTTTTTCTTTTTTTTTTTTTTTTTTGCCTTTTGAATTGTGCTAAGTTTGATACTTCAAATATCCTTTTTTAAAGGTTTTTATTTTTTAAAGATTTATTCATTTTATGTATATGAGTGCATGCACATCTTTATGCCAGAAGAGGGCATGAGACCTCACTATAGATGGTTGTGATCCACCATGTGGGTGCTGGGAATTGACCCCGGGTGCTCTAGAAGAGCAGCCAGTGCTCTTAACCTCTGAGCCATCTCCCCAGGCTCAAAATATCCTTTTATAAATAAACTTGGGGATACTTTTAACTTTCTTCCCTGTCTTTTATAAATAAACTTGGGGATACTTTTAACTTTCTTCCCTGTCTTGCTTCATTCCAACAGAGCTGAGAGAAGATGGGCTCCAGCCTGAGACTTACTTAGTGCAGGGAGTGAAGGCATTGCACACCGCCCTGAAAGCGTGGGCGAAAAAAGAAGTACGTTGTCTCTGCTGTGCGCTTGGCTTCGTTTCTGTGGCGAGATCGTGAAACAGTGCTTTTGCTGTGTGGCTGCGTGCATGTCCCGCCCGGTTGTAAAAGGAATGGAGATTGTATTTAATATGATCTATACTCTATGAAATATTATAGATGACTCTGGTTAGAGAATAAAGACCTTTGTTCCTTATTCTTAAAAAAACAAAAAACAAAACAACAACAACAAAAAAAAAACCCAAAATGCAAGTATATTTAAGATGCTAAGAAACAGACATAGAGTAACAATAAGTATGTTGAGCATTGTGCTTTGTGTTTGTGTGTGTGGCCTCATTTAGTCTTCAGAGTGGCTGTGTGAGGCCAGGGTGCTGCTGGTGTCTCGGTTTAAGTGATTTCCCAAGAGAACTGGCGTGCCTGTCATGTAAAGCTGGACGCTAAGATCGCGAGTCCCTGCTCTTTACCACTGTGGTAGATTCGTATAAAAATGAGGGGAATGAGGGGAAGGAAGGGCCAAGGCTCTTATTTGTGGTTCAGTTGTTCACAATTATCCCAGCCTTTTTCTGAGTGTTCGTCTGAACCTGCATTTGGAGTTACTCCCTTCCCCCATGCTTCTGTAGCTTATTCTTACGCACTTAGACTTAAAGGGAAACAAGGAGAGCCAGGGAGAGACTCAGTGTCTGTGAATCGCCCGCTGTGTAACCCTGAAAACAGCTCAGTCCTGGGGACCATTGTAAAGGCGCACACACACACACACACACACACACACACACACACACACACACACACACACTCACTCATAGTAGTAGTAGTAGTAGTAATAATAATAATAATTATTATTATTATTTCAAAAAGGAGATACTGGGAAACAATGGTCCCTAGGTTATAGTCCGTACGCTTTCATTCTCCATTTTACTTTAGGATTACTGCTACAAATCCATTAGGGCAAGGTGCTGCAGAAACATCCAGGAAAGTAAAAACATGTCTTCCACCGTCAGAATGAGGAGTTAACAGCGCAACAGGATGAAGTGTAGCTGAGGGAATTGTGTGCCTTTGTCTCCTGCAGAGGCTGTGGGTGGGTGCGGTGCTTCTTAAATGTGTGTTGTTAGCATTGCCATCAGAACTTCTAGAAAATAAAGCCTCTGCATGAGTAGAATTGATCCTAAAAATATTCTACATGATTTCTACCATGTAGAAATCATGTAAATTTTTATCACAAGTATTATTAGACATTGGAAATAATGTGTATTAGTAAATTTGTTCAGTTTAGTGTACTGGTTAAAACTTTGGATTCTGGAGTCAGACATACAGAATCAAATCTCATCTCTGCTAGTAGTCAGCGGTGTCATTATGGATTGTGACCTAATGCCAGTGTTTCAGTTCCCTCAGTTGGCAGTAATCCTCATAACCTGTAAAAGGTAAAGCACCTCCAGTCTCAAGTGCCCCAAATCTGAAACATGTCTAGTCCCAAGAATCTCAGACAAGGGTTATCCAAACTGACGTCTATGTCACCCTGAGATTGAGGGGTTAAATGAGTTCATCCTTACCAAATGTACTTAACAGCATCAAACTTTTAGCTCAAATTTATTCAAGTTATACTTTCCATGAAAAACAAGGGTTATTTAGTAGCAGTGCTCCCTATAAAAACCCTTACGTGTTTTGGATAAGATGTTAGGCTTAATTTCATTATTAGTAGCTGTACTAGGAATCACAGTAGGATTTGACTTATAGAGTACATTATAAATAAAATCCACTGTGAGACAAATCCAGTGTAGACTTTAAGAGGATTTTATTTGATAACGTGGACGGATCTCCTTAGGTGATATTCCACCAAGTATATAAACTTTTGAGAAGATTTAACATTATCAGCAATGCCTTTAAAATACAGAAAACTTTATAAAGTAAGCTGGGCTTTAAATATTTAAATGACTTTGGTTTTCTTATCTTTATTACTCTAAATACAGCTTGTATCTGAACATGCCTTTGAAATTCCAGACAATGTCAGACCTGGACATCTTATTAAGGAACTTTCTAAAGTAATTCGAGCGATAGAGGTAAGAATAGAAGTGATCATGTAAGTGTGTCTGCTTGCTATCTGCCTTGAGAAGCAAATGGATCTGCCACCATGTTGTAAATATTGAAAGCACGTACACACTTGAACGAATAAAATGAGCTGACTTGGCTTTACAGAGTTTAGGCTTCTAATGTCTTACAGAGAAATACAGAGTGTTGTGTTGTAATAAAATAAAAAGAGGCAGTTTGTTACTGTAAATACTTTAAGTTCCTCCAAAAGTTCAAGCAAAAGTCACAGTGTGGTGTTTAGATCTGTTTCAGTTACCTAGAGATGAATGTTTGTGAAGTAGTTGGGGGCGGGGGATAAAACAACACGGTGAGTGAGGCTGGGTTGGAAAGAATATTAGGGAATTCCTTGGCCAAAAGTACTGAAGAATCTGAGAAGTCAGTGCCTTTGATAAAAGCCCATATATGTGACATGTTTTAATCATTAAACAGCTGGTGTTGGTATTGAAAAGGGGGGTTTTCATTAAAGTAGTTCTTGTGGAAAGTGACTTGGTTAGCGAGTAGTTTGAAATAAGAGGAAATCTACTGGAGGAAGGAAGCTACTAGGTAAATTACATTAGGTAACCTACATTCACACCTAGTAATTTATTAACTCCTAACCCTTTGTAGCACGGGAAGAGTAGCTGGAGACATGGTTCAGCAGTAACGGGCTAGGCTCACAAGCACACTGTCAAGAAGGGAAAGCAGTGTGCATGTAACAAATGTTAATCTTACTGTTTTGTTCTTGCGGCTGGGGAAGGAACCCAGGGCCGTGTGCTCGTTAGGCAAGTGTTCTCTGTCCCTGAGCTGAGTCTCCAAACCTCTAAGAAAGAGGACTATGCTAGGTTTGCTATCCATGGAATAGAATGTTTCATGTATTTTCAGATGTAGCAAAAAATTTATTAAAGAGTGTTAGTAATGTCATTTAATGGGTTCCCTACCAAAAGTCATATATAAATCACACTATTTGTAACATATATGTGCAGTTGTATCTCATGCACACTAAAACCAGAACAGGATAAACTCAAAATTGATGGTTTAGTAAACAGGAATATTATTTCTGAAAATGTTAACTTCAATTTACTATTACAGATTTAAGATGGAAGTTTGATGTGCTGGTAAAGGCTTGTAATTCTAGCCCTTAGGAAGCTGAGATAGCCCCGTTTCTCTCTCTCTCTCTCTCTCCCTCTCTCTCTCTCTCTCTCGTGTGTGTGTGTGTGTGTGTGTGTGTGTGTGTGTGTGTGTGTGTGTCTGTGTCTGCACCCAGTCAAAAAAATCCTCCCCCAATAAAACAAGGCAATGCATTGTTCTGGAAGTGTGTGGAAGAAAAGGTAATAAAGTTGAAACGTTGATTTAACTTTATCTTAACTGATTAAATAGGATGTGTTTATTTTTAAGTATGTTTATGGTTGTTTAGTCAGGTATATGTCGCCATAAAATGTGTTCTGAATTTGATTCTTACAGGAAGAAAATGGCAAACCAGTTAAATCTCAGGGAATTCCTACTGTGTGTCCAGTTTCACGGCCTTCAAATGAAGTATCTTCACCGTATCATTCCCGGCGAAAGATGAGAAAACTTCGAGACCATCATGTCAGAACTCCTTCTAACCTAGACATCCTTGAGCTCCATACAAGGGAAGTCCTCAAAAGACTAGAGATGTGTCCGTGGGAGGAGGCAAGTATACACCAGGCCCCCGGAAGTGCTCCCACAGCGTGTGTGGCAGCCTGCCGTCTCCACTGTAGATTTAGAGAGACTAATTAATACTTTTGTCTGTGGGAAACCCGTTTCTAGTTTTTCAAGCCAGCAGTGTGATTTTAAGGTACCTAGATTTCATTCATTTGTTGACATGTTTATTAATAAAATAAATAAATGTTTATTCAGATATCATAGATTCTTTTGGACTCTAAAGAAGATGCCAGAGCAAGCAAATTTGAGTCCCTACCCTTCTAGGTTGCATCAGGATTTAAGTTGGAAGATATAATTTTAGAACCAGGTGGTGGTGGCGGCGCCGCACACCTTCAGTCCCAGCAATTGGGAGGCAGGTGGATCTCTATGAGTTTGAGGTCAGCCTGGTCCACAGAACGAGTTCCAGAACAGGCTCCGTAGCTGCTGAGACACCCAGTCTTGAAAAACAAACAAATAATATATGTATGTATAAAATTTTAAGCTGGGCATGATGGTACATGTCTGTAATCCTAGCACTTGGGAGTCTGAGGCAAAGGGGATTACTGCACGTTAAGGCCAGCCTGGGCTGTACAGTGAAACCCTTTCTCAAACAAACTGCAGCAACAAAATGAGTTTGCAATGCTGAGTGTGTTGGGGTCCAGAGCGGTACGGCAGTAAGGGAGCAGAGGCTGGCTGCTTTGCTGACATCTCATGGGGCCTTTCAGGGTTAGTGCTTGAAATTTAATACTTAACAAAACAGGTCACATGAAAACATCTTTGGACAGTATTGCCAGTCAATACAGTAAATTGGACAGATAAAGACTGTCCTTGCGCCAACTGTCAGAATGGGAGACTGTCGGAATAAATCTTTTGTGTCTGAGAATTCCTAGTGGAGAGAGGCAGGGAGAGTGTGTAGTGCCACCAATACAAACCATGCGCTAAGATTGGGATAAAACTTTAATCATCCATAATTTTACATCCTAAGTAGAGGATTGACAGGTAATTGAAAGTAAGGTAGAGGTATTGTTGACTTAAAATACTAAAAGAAATTACAGTCATTACAACCTTATATGTTTTTATATTTGATATCATGGTGTTTTAAGATGAAACCTGCTTAACCCATAGTTACTTTGGGAAATGCATTATGAAAAGTTCTATTTATTAAGAGGAAGAAGACCTCAAAGAAAATCTATATGTTAAAAAAAATAAAGATCCTGTTGTCTCTCTTAATAAAGTGGTGGCTCTTGTGCTTAGAGCTAGCAGTGTGGGAGCAGAGAGTGTTTCCTTCCTTCCTCCTTCCTTCCTCCTTCCTTCCTCCTTCCTTCCTCCTTCCTTCCTCCTTCCTCCTTCCTTCCTCCTTCCTTCCTCCTTCCTTCCTCCTTCCTTCCTCCTTCCTTCCTCCCTTCCTTCCTTCCTTCCTCCTTCCTTCCTTCCTTCCTCCTTCCTTCCTTCCTTCCTTCCTTCCTCCCTCCTTCCTTCCTCCTTCCTTCCTTCCTCCCTTCCTTCCTCCTTCCTTCCTCCCTTCCTTCCTCCTTCCTTCCTCCCTTCCTCCCTTCCTCCTTCCTTCCTCCTTTCCTCCTTCCTTCCTTCCTCCTTCCTTCCTTCTTCCTTTCTTCCTTTTTTCTTTTTCTTTCTTTTTTCTTTTTCTTTCTTTTTTCTTTTATTTTTTAAAGATGTATTGATTATGTATAGTGTTCTGCCTGCATGCCAGAAGAGGGTACCAGCTCTTGTTATAGATGATAGTGAGTCACCATGTGGATGCTGGGAATTGGACTTGGGGCCTCTGGAAGAGCTCTTAGCCTCTGAGCCATCTCTCTGGCCCCAGAGGCAGATGGTCTCGGTGGGAAGGGATGAGGTGAAGGTCACCACAGTTGTGCATCATCAAGAAGAAACAGCCAAGGAACCTGAGACTTCCTGAGGCCATTTGACCCCTGCCTTTGGCACCTGTAACAGAGGCCTGCATTTGGATTTACTTTATACAGATTGTGCATTTTATACTAGAAAATGATTTTGTTGCGAATGGCCTGCTGGAAGGTGAGCAATTCTGTATGTGTGGAGTGAGTAGCTCTGGCTTGTGGGATACTTGCGATATCTCCAAGCCTAGACGCTGCCCGTCCCTCCGCCAGGCAGGACCACGGGAGGAGCAGCGTGCAGTCTTTTACAGTTGAGCAGGCCTGTCTGAAGGTCACTTCTGCTTTGTACTTTTAAGGACATACTGAGCTCTAAACTGAATGGAAAATTCAACAAACATCTCCAGCCATCTTCCACCGTACCTGATTGGAGAGCGAAAGATAATGATCTACGATTACTGCTGACAAATGGAAGAATAATTAAGTACGTAAAGTAGATGAAACTACCAGATTGATTTTCAGTGGGTCCCTTTTGTTCATTTAGTCCCTCACCTGCATCATTCATTGCACAGCCAATCGTATGAGGGGGACGGTCTCATATCTCCACTGTGTCTGAATGGAAGGGAACACAGAGCCTTGAACTATTTCTGATGCAATTTTCCCTCCGTGGCAGAGATGAGAGACAGCTGTTTGCAGATCGGAGTCTTTATACAGCAGATAGTGAAAATGAAGAGGACAAGAAACCAGCAAAGAAGGCAAACGTAAAGACAGAAGAGCACTCAGGAAGAGAGGGGCCAGAAAGTGGAGGGTCCCCAGAACCACTTAGCAGTATGTCTCTGTTCTTTCATTAATGTGGCCGTGGGTGACCTGCTGGTGTTTCCGTTGTTGTAGGATGAAAATGTTTGTGTTTATGGTATTGTTGGGAAAGCCAAAATACTTGTGAGGTGTTCATCGGTCAGGAAAGTGCTGTATGTGAATGCCAAATAAGGTGTGGGAGCCAGGGACAGATTAGCACTGAAGGGGTATGTGATGGTCAGGAAGACCCAGGTAGAGGGGTAGAGGCCCTACTTCTAAATTCTTTTAACAGACCATATGCTATGGCCTACTCCCCAAAAGGCGTTTCAAGCTTAACTTTATTTCACACAAGGCTTCTGCTAACTGCTAACATGTCTTTCGTTCTCATAATGAAGAGCATCTAGTTGGCTGACCTGCAGCTAGTGAGAATCCAAGTAGCCTGGTGCTGTTTGTTTGACTGGACAGGGAGTTTGTACTGCCGCCTTAATTGATTATCATCGAGTAGAGTAATAGGGTGTCAGGTACGGTAGCAGTGCCATCTTCTCCTTGAAGTCTTCGAATAAATCTTAATTCCTGAACAGTTCCCAAGAGCAGCCCATACCTTCCCTTTTAAAAAGTAATTAAAAATCTATGTTTTGATGAGTAAGCATTCTGCATAGTGAATATTATTGGATTACTTTTGAATATCTCAGTAAGTCTGTTCCTCTGGCTGGTAACTAACTCTTCCTTTGTTTACACGTCAGGGTAGACAGGGTATCGCTGAGAACTGATGGCACAGTTGCTGTCTATGCAGTGGGGTTGTGGAAGGGAAAGGCAGAGCTAAGAGCCCTGATCATAAACTGTTTGAGCCCACAGTCTGAGTGTAGTGAGCTTTGAGAGTTGCCTTTTGTTCTCCGGTAAGACGATAGGAGAAAGCCAGAAGCAGCTTGTAGTTCATTTTTAGTCTTAAAGGATTTTCTTTTCCTGGAAAGAAAGAAATACTACCAATATTTTAAGGACTAACTTCAGTTGGTGTATCTTGGTGAATTCGAGAGAAGACAACGGGAAAAAGGAGAGACACTTGGGGAGGTGGGATGGCATCTTGAAGCGGGGCAGACCGAAAGATCACCCTTCCACCTTGCCCCAAAGTTTGAATGACTGTTTCTTGTCCCTTCTCTTCACGAATTCTTCTACAGGAATTTTTACAAGTGTGAACTCAGAACTCAGGAATAGAGCATCAGAATATTCTGATGTTTCTGATTCAGAAGACTCTGGACCTGATTGCACTGCCCTGGTATGTGTCCTTTGATAGGGTGGCGAACACCCGTGTAGCTTCACCTGGGAGAGGAAGGTTGATGACCGCTTTCCCCAAAGCTTGTCTCTGGGTGTGCAGCTCAGGGCTGTGGTGTACACACCGTGCTGTGACCGGTCACATTCATAAGCAGTGCTTGTTAGGTTCTAGTGAGGGTGAGGTAGAGATTCTGCTGCTCGTACTAAGTTCTCGTGTGGTCTATGTTCTGACAGTTTATATTTTTTATTTTACCTTAAAGTATGTAACTGTGTTTTGTATTCAGGTAGTAGGTTACTATAGTTACGAAGAAGTTTTAGATTTTGATGTAAAACAACCAATTTTATGGTAATTAAGATTCTAGTTTCTAAACAGATAAATTTCAGTTAGTCTGTACAGCTGTTTTTAGCTTTGTTTCCATTTAATGATTTATTATTTCAGAAAATTAATTTTGCCGCTGAAGACTCTGAAAGCTCGGGTGATGAAAAGAACCCTGAAATAACATCAAACTTTAAGGAGGAATCTGATATAGAGAGGAGCCTCCTTCATAAGGGCCAGAAGCCATCTAGAAATGAAATCCCAGTTAAAAGGTAGGCTTGTGGGTGCTAGTTGTTTTACATTGTTAGCTTCTAAATTTGCTGAATATTTTATCAAAAAGACACTGTTTGGCTCGTCCCAGGGAATGTCCTACGTCGACGAGCACAGAGGAAGAAGCTATTGAGGGCATGCTGTCGATGGCAGGGCTGCACTATCCCGCGTGTTTACAGAGGCGGATACAAAGCACAGACTGCAGTGCTGGGAAGAACTCTCTCCAGGGCTCCAGCAGCTGCCACGGCAGTAACCCTGACCTTAGGCAGTTGTATCGCTGTGATAAACCAGTGGCATTTGGTAAGAAACACAAATTATCGGTGTCTGAAAGGTAATATATGAGCCCCAGTTTAATACTGTTGTGATCTTGTTGAGGTTCGAGATTCTGTGGATAAGGACTGTTCACCATTAAGAAATGCCTTTTTATATAGTCCTGTAAGGTGCACGCATAAGCACTCCAAGTGTGGGTCGGCAAGGTAGCCCAGTGGGCTCTCTGCCGACCCCATGAAGGTCTGAGTTTGATCCCCAGCACAAGAACCAACTCCTACAAGCTATCCCCTGACCTCCACACGCATGCTGTGGCACACATGTACCCACACACAAGTTAATTAAAATAGTTCAAATGTTAAGACTCAAAATGGCGATGGCCCAGGGCTGAGAGCTTGTCCACAGACCCACACTCTCGTTACTCTGGCGAAGACAGTCTTGTTTCCCTGTCGCCGACTGTAAGAGCGCCCAGAGTGGAAGGGGCGTTTGGTTCTGAGCGGTCTGCAGAATGGCGCACTTTCCTGTTAGGAAAGGAAAAACGGGTTTGAATAATTTCTTTCTCACGGAGGCTGTTTTCTCAAACAGTGAGTCAGTAATACTACCTAGTGTTTCTTCCCTGTGCTTTCAGAGGAGGAAAGTATTTCCTAAAAATCTTAGGGTCGAGAAAAGGACATGTAGCCATTGTGTTCAACCCCACAAAATAGGGTCATCGGTGCGCCAGGACTTTGACCTCCATTTTACATAAAAAGGAACTATGATTCGATGAGGTGAATTTAACCTGCACATACTTTACATAGGTATTACTCAAATCTGTTGGAATTTGAACCTGGGATCTGAAATCTTTGCATATTGTATAAGAGCAAATTGAGCCTTGAAAAGGTTCAATAGCTTGTCTAAAGTTGCATTGGTATTTGGAAAAACTCAAATTTAAATCTGGGTTTACCTGTCTTTCTCTGCTCCATTTTTCTTTCCTATAATCTGTTTGGTCCCTTGATGCAGGGAAAGAAATGCCTTTGTCCCAACGGAAAATATGTCATGTTAGAGACGTGTGTGTTGCATTTGGTTTCGGTTTGCATTGACAACATGTGGCCATAGTACTTTACTGTAGGTCTTCTAGCATGTAGCACAAAATCTGTCATATAAAGACAATTTCAAGAAAATTCACGGAAATAGCAAGTTTGGTTGTGAGTTGCTGTGGGATTTGTTTGTTTTACGAAGCGTGAAAGAAAAGGTATGTGAATAATTGGGTCAGCATATATTTGCTTTCAGTTGTAGGCACTGGGCTAGTTTTAAGATACGTTTGTGCAAAGATAACTTAATCAGAACTTCTTTCTAGGGTACCATGACAAAACTGCAGATCAAGACTTGAGGACTTCTTCTTGGACTAAACAGTTTGATAGACCTTCCAGATTTAATCCTCAGGTACATTCCAAAGTGGGAATATGAAGAAGAGATTTAGGATATTCAATATTATTTTTGCTTTCATTTTAAAACTTCATGTTTCTATTCAGTTCCTTTCTCTTTTGATGTTGGTCATGATCTCAGTTAATTTCAAGCCTTATCAGTAGCATTTTTTTCCTTATAAATTGACTGAATTATCATAAGAGACTCAAAGAGGACTCCTAGTTAAAAGAAAAACAGGCTTGGGCATGGATCTTGGAATGTTTATAGCAAGCAAATTTAGTAGAGATGAACTTCATATTAGACGTAATATGGGGGCCTGCAAGATGGCTCAGCAGATAAAGGTCTTTCCAGGCCTAAGGGCTTCACTACTCCTGGGACCCACATGGTGGGAAGAGGTCTCTAAAAGGATGCATATTACCTTAAGAACCGTGATGAGCCAAGAAAACTGTGGGCCCATGGCTTCAGTTTCAGCTCTCTTCCAACTCTGGGGTCTCTATTAATGAACTTCAAAACTTAAGTAATAAGAACTAATCTTGCAAACTTTTAAGGCTGGGTAGTTATGGACTAAACTGACCATATGGAGGGTGGGTATTATTGAGCACTGGTTAAGAGCATTTACCATTAAGACTGATGGCCTGAGATTGATACCTGGTACCCACACGCTGGAAGGAGAGAAACAATTCCCACAAGTTATCCTCTGCTCCCACACATGCATCCTGGTGTATGGGCATATGCATACTCTCTCTCTCTCTCTCTCTCTCTCTCTATATATATATATATATATATATGTATGTATGTATGTATATGTATATGTATATGTATATGTATATGTATATGCACATACACACAAATACATATATATAGAAGGAGAAAAAGTAAATCAAAATTGAGTAATTTGTTTCCTCATCTCTGTTGATTTTTCTAATGCATAAATACCTCATTTATCTGAAACTTGAGAAATGTAGCTACATTTCTTTTCTTCTTTAGGACTTGAGTAGAAGCCAGAAATCCATCAAGAAGGAAAGTTCTTCAGAAACCAGTCAGAAGGCACAAAGCAGGCATTGTGTGGACAGTAGTAGCTCAAGTATTCAAAATGGAAAGTGCATGCTGAATCCCAGCTTGGTTTCAGGGCCGTGCCAGATAAATAATGGAAGTCTAAGCCCAGAAAGGCCTATTGGTGAGACCCCTTTCTCAGTGCCTCTTCATCCCACGAAGAGACCTGCATCAAACCCACCGCCTGTCAGCAACCAGGCCACAAAAGGTAGCGTCTGTGGATCGCGGGGGGGGGGGGGGGATGGAGCGGGGGGTGTTGGTGTCTGTGGCTGTGTGTAAAGGCAGTCAGGGAGTTTCTATGCCAGCAGTCCTCAGCCTTCCTAACGCTTCAACCCTTTAATACAGTCCCTCATGCTGTGGTGACCCCGCCATAAAGCTGCTTTCCTTACTACGTCATAGCTGTGATCTTGCTGCTGTCATGGTTTGTGTGTGGTATCTGTGTGCTCTGGTGGTTTTAGGCGGGCCCTGTGAAAGGGTTGTTTGACCCTCCCCCAAGGGTTGAGAACTGAGCAGCTGTCATTGTCTCTTGCATTGTGGACAACAGCCTGATGGCACTGGGTATTGAGCTCCTGTAGAGGACACTTAAGCCAATCTTGAGGGTCAGGAGTGGCTTTCTGAGGCTTAGGAGGAGCATGACCTGAAACACAGAAGGGCGATGTTCATGAGGGATGGATGCATCAAATCGTAGTCCGCTTTGTTGCTGAAGCGTAGTTGGAGGGACACTGTCCTTTTTCTTTTGTATGCTAAAGTGGAAGGGTTTTTAAGCATGAATTATAGACATGTGACCCAACTCATTTCTTTGCTATGAAGCTCTCCCTTTTTAAGTCTTAAGTCTTCCAGGTATTATATGACAAATGTACTTTTTATGAGTATTAACTGCGTTGTTGGTTTTTTATAGGTAAACGTCCAAAAAAAGGAATGGCAACAGCCAAACAACGTCTTGGGAAGATCCTTAAATTGAACAGAAATGGCCATGCACGTTTCTTTGTGTGACAGCCTCCATGGCAGTCTCTCTCCTTTGGAGGCCAGTCTTGGGCTGTGGAAACCTGGAGTTTGCGCCGTCCCCTGCCTGGAGCAGTTTGTGTGTACAGTAAGAATACTGCCCGAAGAACGGAACGAACCAGCTGCTGCCTTTCACTGTGCCACACCCACAGCAATAACCCTTTGGACCTGGTGGGGGAGAGGAAGAAGGAGGGTAGAACCTTAAAAAGAGACCTTGAACTGGAAAGGGGTCTCTTGTCAGGGCTTGAATTTAATTTTGTTGTTGGTAGTGTCTTGATTTATTTTCAGTAGTAGGATAAAGAATTATCAATAATTTATTTAACAGATTTTTTTTTTAAAGTTAACAGCTTTTAAATCCTTTCTTTTTTTAAAGCTATTTATTTGGAAGATTTCTGGAGAAATATCTCACTAATTTAGATTTAAGAATGTGAAGGTTTTTAAATTATTTTTGATAGTGTGTGTTACATGTGGGAAGAGCCACAGTAACAGTAGCTAGTCTGGACTCTTAAATTTGATATTCAGGTTAAAGTCTTAAACAGGGATTTGATGCATTAATTATTTTAAATTAAGATGTATATGAAATCATTTTATTTTATATATTTCATGTGTTTTTTATAAGCTATTAGCTTCGCTTTTGCTAACATCCAAGGTGCATACTGTTATCCAGGTTGATTCCCTTACACCCCACCTTTCCACTGCAAGCCCCGCCCCCGACGTATTGAGATGACCCCAGACTCTTCGCAGGGAAACACCTTAATAGCCAATGCTAAGAACCACATAAGAGTCTTCGTTTCTTGTTTCTTTTGACATTGTGGTTTTCTTCTACATGTGGAGAAATAGGCTTGTTCCATTTTCATTTCTCCTGATATCTAGGTCCCAAAGAGAACAGCTTTAATATCTTTTTCCTACTAATGGGGAAAGTATAAGTTTGGTTAAAATGTCACGTTTATAGTTTTTTCAAAAACCTTTATAATTACAGAGGGCCTTCTTCATACTGCTGGTGTTGGAAGAGCCAACATCTACCACAGGTTATATCTTACCATGCTTTTATTATCTAGACATAATTTTTTTTAGAAATACAATTTGATTTAGGATGTTCAAATCTGCATAAAAGCCGTAATACAATAGGACTATACTATATTAAGTTGTATAGAAGCAAGCATGTTGGAATAGATCGGGGTGTGTGTGTGTGTGTGTGTGTGTGTGTGTGTGTGTGTGTGTGTGTTTAATTTCTGAACAATTATTTCAACACATATTTGGAGTAAAATGGGTGCTTTTTGCAGTTTCTTCCATCTGTCTTGGCTAGTAGCATATGGAGGTTAAGTGTCTGGTTGAGCTTTAGTTAAGATAATAATTTATATCCTTTATGTACAACTTTTACTAAATGCAAGTTTTCAGTTGCTTGTAATAGTTTTTAGTCTCTTTGAGTCTCCCTATTTTCCCCTCATGGCATTAAAATAAATTGATACTGGGGGTCTGATGGTATTATATTTTACAAATTCCTACAAAGACAATATAGGCAAATAATATGAACTATATTTTTCTGGAGAAATATGGCTGTATAATGGATTTTTGTCTTTCTCACTCAGCAAGGTAGCTGGACTTTTCCTTCTGCACTAAGCATTAAGTTGTAAGAAAAGAATTATGTACCTTTCATAGTTGCATTCAAAACATGTATTTCCAAAGAGAAATATTTCTTATTCTGTGTCTTGTATTGAAGGGATAAGGAAGTTACGAGTTCACCTTTTTGGTCCAGATTGTTTGGACCAAAGTTTCGGTTCATTTTGGTTGTCAGGATAGGATTTTTGTGGCATTCGTGGTATCTGTAGACGCCTCCCTAACCCTGCCTAGTAGAGAGAGGAATGCAGTCCAGGCACTGGCTATATCTCAGGATGCAAAACTCTGGATTGATGGCCCTCACCTCCCCACACTGGATCACTGTGATGTCTTTGTCTCTGTTTTATTTTAGAACACACACTTGTATTTTGGGTTAAGAAATAAGCAGCATCATTTCTTTCTTCAGTTACAGTGATTTAGATTTTTTTTTTTTAAACAGCTCAAGTAGTTTAGCTACTTTTTTTGTCATAAAAATTAAAACTTATTTTTTATGAATTAAGACTGTGGCCAGTTTCCACCCTGTATCTTTAGGCTCATAAAACTAATTTTGAGTTGCCAGTATTTGGAATTTTTAGGTAACTGCTGTGGGTTTTTTTTTTTTTTTTGATCATTTTGACCCATAACTGACTAAATCACAAAACTTTTAGCAAGTTAATACAGCCACTAAGAAAGAATCCATGTGTCTTTTCTGAGTTGATAAAAATTCAGCCACGTAGGCAGTGACTTTTCTTGTCAGACCTCTTACATAGTTCTCCAACTTGATGTGTCCTTTTATCTCATAGAAATGGCTGGACTTTGAGGTGTGACTACTGCTAGGATCTGGGCTCAACAGTTATAAGTAATCTGACTTATAGTATACTATAGCTTAAATAAGAAGACGGCAGCGGTAATACTTAGTTATAAGCAAATAAAATTTGTGAAGTTGAGAACTAATGATTTAGTGTGCAGCTTTGATAGCAGTAGTGACCCTGTTGTAATTGAGCTAAGTGACCCTTAACCTGGAATCTACTGTACTGTAATTCACAACAGTATATAATATCATGCTCTCTAGTATTGGTGAATGATTAACAATACAAAACTGGCAGCTTTGTACTTCAGGATCTACATCGAAATTTGTAAATTTCATTTTTGAAGCACACAAAATTGAACCATCTACTGAAACCATAAACTCAGAGGTGACAAGTCCATCTGTATCACTAGTTTAAATACTTAGCTTAATACTTAAATACTAGTCGAATGCTATTCTTGTTTTACTAATCCTAATGAATTCCTTTTCTATGTATTTTACTGTATTTATTAATATGAGATCAGCAGGAATTTATCAGACATCTTCTGTGAGCCCAGAACTAGTTAGTACTGTAGAGGATCTCAATTTTAGTTTTAGTCTGCCTTTGAAGGTGTGTCTTCTCCAGAGTGTTACCAGTATTGTTTTCATTTCAAGCACACTTGAGCAGAAGGTGAATCATTGGTAAAGAGAACAGAACAGGAAAAAAAAAAAAACAAAAACAAAAAAACCAGTCTAATTTCATTAGTTTCAACTGAGACGCACCATTATAGAAATGGGGGGGGGGTGTTTAAAAAAACAAACAAGCCAAAAAAAGACCTCTCTTCTTTAGTATTTAAGAAAATCCCACAAGTTAGTAATTTTTGTTGGTAATAAAGGGTGTGACAGTGTGGCAAAGCTTGGAAAGGAGCAAAAAGCCTGCATTTTGGTCCATGTTCTGCCATTTATGTCAACTAAGCAACCCTGAATCAGTAAATTATTCTGAGTTTTATTTCTAAGCCCTTGTTATTTGTAAGTTTTGAGTAAAAAAATACTTAATGATACTCAGTGAACTAGCATTCTTTAACTATTATGTCAGTTAGTTAAGTTACAACTGATAGTTGAGTATACCTTTAGAGAAATCTATAGAGGAAACTGCTTTTATTCATCACATTTGATATCTTATGTGTAAAACCATCCTAACAAGGTGCTGAATTAGAATCAGGTTTTATGCTTGAAGTGAAAAAAAAAAAAAGGTTTGTGAACAGAAGAGGAAGAGCTTTTATCAAGTTAGTGGTGATTGTGTTGTACAACAGAAAAGCTAGCTTTACGTTTCTTTCAAAGAGGAAATTAGTACTGTTTTCCAGATTTGGCATACTCTTCAGGCTCAAAAGTTAAAGTGAGTGATGAATGTAAAATGACTTGGCAGCCAGCCGTGGGACTGTGGGAAAGGTAAGGTGACTGGGAGCTCAGCAAAGGCAGCTGTGGGTTGGGCACTGGGGAGGGAAAGTAGCTGGGGGTAGTGTGGATCTGGGCCACGGCTGGGCGTGTCTAACAGAGTGAGTGTGCTCTGAAGCGGCGAGGCAGTCCCTGAGAGCTGGTGGAATTGCTCATAGAAAGAACTGTTATAGCAAATGGGAATTCCTAGTTTTCACACGGAGAAATAAGAAACTTAATAATGCAAATTTAAAACTGCTCTCAAAAATTCACCTTTCCCATTATATATTAAACTATCACTCTCCGTGTAAGAGACAAGGCCTTGCCTTTCATGTGTAAGGCCTTGGGTTTTATCCCTAGTACTACAAAGAGAACAAGAGGAGCGAAGGCTTTCAGACTGTTAATCTAATACAGACTGTTTTATCTAATACAATCTCAAAAAAATTGCCTAGGGAAAGCTAGTCTATTGAGTATTACTATAGTGACCAATGTAACTGAGATAGGAGAAAGATTTGCCTAGGGACACACAGTGGCTTTGAGATTTCTGGTACTTTGTTTCCTTACACAGACTCTGTTCTTTGACACTGCAGCCTCTGCTTATTTGTGGATGCTGTCCATATATGTTCTTGAAGCTAGACAGAAAGAACAATTGGTCTACGCCCTAACCTGCTGTTGAGCATAATTAACCTCATACTTATTACAAACCTTTCCTTTATTTTCTCTCATGCCATAAGTGAAATATTTGAAAACTTTCTATAAGCATTTTTAAAAAGCAAATGTCTATTTCCAAAGCAGCTGGCATATCATCACTCCCATGGTTTAGTTCTCTGTAGTAAGTCTCCCCTTTTTACTGGGGAAGAAGCAAGTAACACTCACTGGAGAAGCCCTTAGGTCCCATTACCCTTGGTGCCCTTTTAGTTTCTTAAGGCTTTGTCTTAACTGTGACATTAAACTTTTTGCTTAAAATCTTTTAAAGGATGTATCCAATGATTCTTAAACAGACTGACCTGCTCTGCACTATTCATTAATGAAACCCTGGCTACCGCGTAGCCCTTGACCTCCAAGTAGTTTACCTATGCAAGACCTGTGACACTCTAATTCACTTTCCTTCGTTACAGAAAGCAGTCATAGAGTAACTTAATCATAAAAGGTTTGTCTTCAGTGAGGCTTTTTTCTTTTCAAAATAAATCAGCTATTTTCCCTCCATATTTTTTTACCAAAACAATTATCATAAGTGCTAGAATATATACTATTTTGCAGGAATAAAATAACCAAGACATATGCTTATATTTCTTTGGTAGATTTTGTTTGGTAAGAAATTCCAGCATTAACTGTAGAGTTGATTCTTTGCCTAGAACAATTTTTTTCCTCCTAAGATTCATAAGTAACATTTTCACGAAGCATGCATATAACTTACACAATATAGTCAGGGACCTGAGGTGTAACTTTATAAGTGAACCCAAGGTTATTTTATCTTGCAAAAGAAACGTAAACCAAACTAAGGGCCTTACAGTTCATGGTTAGAGTGAATTAAATGCTGTAACCTCAGTTTTTCCAAAAGCAGCTCTTGACTGCACAGGTGAGTCATGCAGTTGTTAAGTATGAAATAGCACTGATAGGAAATGCATGCGCATCTTTGCAGACTGTATTTCCTTTGGAAAAGACTTTTCTACTTTTAATATAATTAAGCCATAACAGTTTCATGCTGTGGAAAGGATGAAAAGGTTCATTTTAAGAGATTATATAGTATGGACTTTCACATTTATTGTGAAACATCTAACTTTGCCAGTGTTTCAGCAAGTTTTTCTTTTGTGGTGGTGGAGGGTGGTAAAGGGGAGGGGTAAGTATTGGTTTTAGGGGTTGTAACTCTGTGAAATTTGAAGACAGGACAGTTGTTGGCTATGGTACTTACTAGTTTTGTAGTAATGTTTTGCTAGCCTGACTTTCCTTACTGGTTTTTATGTCCATGGTCCCTGGTGACTGTTACTCTTACTGTTTGGTAGTGTCTCATCTGTGTGTAGGCAGTGTGTGTGTGCACATGTGTGGCTTTGACTACAGAAACCCTGAGTGACAACAGAATGGGTGTGGCTGGAATGGGATGCTGAAGCTTTAAGAGCATTTGTTTTTATTCACAACAGTATTTCCCATCTTTTGCCTGCAGGCAGGGAAAGTGTACAGTATTTATTTCGTTCCTGTTTTACTCTGAATTTGTAAGTCATTAAGTAGCTTATATTATTATAGGGGAAGACAAGTGACTTGCTTAAAGTTGTATTTAGAATTCTTACTTCCTAATTTCTGTATTTTTAAATATTGAAATTAAAATTGTATTACTTCTGTTTTGATTTTTTTTTAGCACTCAGTGTATTTTTTGCTCATTTTGTTTAAAAGTATAAATGTTGAAAGTTGTATAAAATGTGTCTGTGAAGGAAAAAAAAATCTGAATTCTATATCCAATTCTGACTTTGTTCCCTTTTTCTGAATCTCAAAACACTAGAATGTGGAAGAGTTATGTTCTTACTTTGTCGAGTATTTCGATGTGAAAAGTAATGTCTTATCTCATTAGAGGTTTTGCTGGGGAAGAGTGGTTTATGATTGACTGTCAAGATGGGACTTCAGAGTGGAGACAGATGTGGGTGCTTCTCTGGTTCTTTATTATTTTACTTCTTTAATGGATGAATTCTTACGCGTGCTCTGTTCCCATCTGGGCGTCTCCTAAGTGTCCAGACACTGTTGTAGCAGCAGGGTTCCAGGGTTGGGAAAACTAAAACTAGACCACTGGGCTTCAGTGAGGGAAGCAAGGCTCTGCTGCCTGGTAAGGAGAGCATCGCAGATCGCAGCGCAGACCCTGGGAGGGAAATGGGCATGGTTTTGGTCATGGGGCCTTCTGTGACAAATCAGAGGGAGGGAGTGGAGTCAGAAAGGAAGGAACACACAGGCAGCACTTTGATGGGAAGCAGGGAAGCCTCAGACGCATGCAGCTCTGAGAACCAAGGCAGCAGAAGACCTCGGGTCCTTGGCAACTCCTCTCCCCTACAAAAGAGAAGGACTGGGCACTGCAGCTTCCTGTACAGTAGGGACTAGTCTCTCTTTCAGACATGACAGACCTCAACTGTAGACTTGCTCTTGAAAAACTCTTTGTAGATCTAGGAGATAGTTTTTTCTAATGATCGCCTATTACAACAATGAAATAGTGAGCATACCTCATCCCAACTCAGCCTGATTTGGGGGGACTAGTAAATAAATCTCAGGGACTATTGGTGTTGCATGCCTTTGGATTAAGAGGGAAGAACCAGGTGCTTTGGTGCATACAGGATTTGGATCACAAGTCCCCATTACTTCACCCTGAGGGCTCACTATGTGCAGGGAATATTTTTATTCTTCCTCAGTGACCCAGTGCGTAGGAACTACCTTATACCCTATACAAGTGAAACCAAGCTATAGAGAAAGTATCACGTTCAAGTTCACTGCCATTAAGTAGAAGTTTGGGCTAGGGGGATGGTTAGTGGGAAGAGCTGAGTTAGGATTCCTAGCAACCATATAAATGCCAGGCAGATATGGTGAACCATCTGTAATACCAAAATTTGGGATGTAAAGACTGGATCCCTGGGGCAGGCTGGCTAGTTATACTAGCTGAATCGGTGAACTCCAGCTTTAGGAAAAGACCTTTCCTCAATACATGAGGTGGAGAATGACGAAGGACACCCAATGTTAACCCTACATGTCTATGCACACATTCATACACAGTTGTGTATATAACACACAACACACACTGTCCCCAAAACAGATTTTAACCGAAAGCCTGTTCAACTAGAAGTCTTGCATCATCTTTGGTGTAGGAATGGTTTTTATTCCAAATATTTTGGTGTATAGCGAAAACTTATAGAAGTTTTAGTTTTCATCTGATTTCATAGTGTGTCTCTTCTGTGAACACGGATGCTCAGAACTGTTACCGGTACAGAAGGTAGGCTGCAAACAGGTAATGGATGAGTGGCACCATTGGAAGGCATGAACCCAGCGTTTCCAAAGTCAAACTAGAGAATGAAGAGAGGCCTTGCTTGATGCCTCTCTCCAGACAGCCCATAGTCCTGATGGCTGGTATGGCAGCCCTGTCTGGCGTACAAGCTTGCTCCGATACCCCTTTCTGTTCCTCAGCTCCAGAAGTGGGTCAGCCCACACAGGGACGATGACAGCCAGGACTGTCTCAATGCTGGTGCTCCACCATCCATCCAGAGCCGCGTCGTTCACCTCCTCTTCTGTCCCCTCTCTTTCTTGTCCACGCTATTCCCAATCTGCTCCCCACATTCCCAATCTTACTTAATCCTTCACATGATGCTTTTTAAAAAACATATATTTCAATTATGCGATAATGTGAGGGGTTATGCATGCGAGGGCAATTGTAACCCACGGAGGCTAAAAAGGCATTAGATCCCGTGTGAGCTGGCATTACAGTTGTGAAATGCCTGATACGGATGGATGAGAATCAAACTCCAGTCCTCGTCCGGAAAAGTACCCTAACCATGCAGACATCTCTCCAGCTCCATCTTTATGCTTTAAATAAAAAGTGCTAATTCTGATATGTTGTGACTTAAAGCTCATTTTATGCTGGAATTTGAAAAACAATTTTTTTTTTTTTTCCTTTTTTGAGACAGGGTTTCTGTGAAACCATGGCTGTCCTAGAATTTACTCTGAAGACCAGGCTGGCTTAGAACTCAGAGATCTGTCTCTGCCTCCTGAGTGGTGGAATTACAAAGTGTGGCCACCACTGCCCAACCAGAATTTTTTTTCTATAAAGATTAATATACATTCCTAAAGTTTTTTTTGTTTAATGTAGTGGTTTTAAAAGCAAATTTAACCTGGGCAAATGATTCATAATAAAAGCTAGTGTTGGACTTTTACTCTAGAAGTTTCCTACTGTTGTTTCTTGTACACTCTGTACTATGCCATCAGTCCCACAAGCTGTCACACTGGAATCTACTGGCCCAGACACTTAGCAAGACCTCCAGTTTGAGTTTTCCTGGTTGGTTGCAAATAGGCAGAATTTTACTGTTAACCCTTTTGCATCGATGCAGCCTCAGCCTCTTTGTCCTGCATAACTCCAAGGGACTGACAGAGTAGCTTCTATTAGGAAAGTGGCTGGTGAAGTTCCTTCATGTCTGTAGAGGGTGGGTAGTGCATAGTTGCCTGTGGGTAGGGTTTGGAAAGAAGTAGCATCATCAAGGTTGAAGACTTTGGGACGGACACACACATACAAACTTTTTGTTTTCAAACCCAGCAATTTTGGAATCTGACAAGTGTGCTCCATGGCAATGGTTCTCAACCTGTGTGACCTCTTTGGGTCACATATTAGATACCCTGCATATCAGATAGATACATTATGATTCATAACAGGAAAATTATGGTTAAGTAGCAGTGCAAAATAATGTCATGGTTGGGGTCACTACCACACAAGGAACCGTATTAAAGGCTGAAGCATTATGAAGGCTGAGAACCACTGCTCTGGGCAGTAGTGGATTGGTTGCTGCAACACAGCTGCTCCTCATACCCGTGCAGAGCTCCCGAGAAGCCCCACTCCCGAGAAGACCATCTTTCTGCTGGAGCTGGTGAGCTGCCATGAACACCAGAAACTAAGGCTTTACAGAGAAGACCTTGGTCAGTTTGTTTCCTCCACTGCACTGCTACTGTTGACTTTTGCTTATCTGTGTCCTTCCTGTTAACCTGAATTTAGGACCAGGGCCCTGAACTGTCTGTCATCAGTGCCTACCTCTGGTAGAGCTTGACACTAACCCTCACTGAAGATCCACAGAGGAAGCGGAAAAGCACACATGCCCCCATTAGCTTGGCACTTCCCCCATCACCTCCCATTGCTGCCATCACCAACCATACTCAACTCTGGCTCTCAGTGAAGCTCGTAGCACCATGGCCAAAAACGTCAATGTGCCACGTTAGAGTTAGATTCGGCTGTAGAGAGAGAAAACCCAAAACAGGAATGGCTTAGAACACTGGAAATACGGCATTGAAAGTCTGGCAACTTGATGTGGTCAAGGACCTACATCTATGTGGTTCCCACCCTATGACCCAATATGACCCACTGGTGATTCACCCAGTGGGAGCAGGATGGATCTACAGTTCCTCTCTTCTCCCCAGTTCTGTCTGTCCTTCCTGAGGTGACCCATGTAAAACGTACTGGCTGGCACATACATGTTCAATAAGGATAGAAAGAATTTACCCCCAAGTTTGTTACTTTCTCCTTAGTAACACGAGAGTAACCACAACAACTTGGAACAACATTATCTTTACTTTTAACATTTGTCACCACAGGGCTGGGGATGAAGTTCAGTTTGTAAAGTACTTGCCTGGCATGCATGAAACCCTGAGGAAGGGTCAAAAGTTCAAGGTCGCCTCAGCTACATAATGAGTTCAAGCTTGTGATACCTGAGTCTCTGTCCAAACGCATATGCTTATGTCTACAGAGTCAACGTCTAACACCTCATTGGCTATGGTTTATCTGGGGTGCAGATGTCTGCCTTATATCCTCTCGAGTTGACCCAGCCTTTGGCAGCTGCCTTCTGTTGCTTCAATTCCTGGAATGAAGTATACTAGTTAATTGACAGTGTCCATTTATCTCCTGAGTGGTAACCACTTACACATTAGACCTTCATCTAGATTTTTCTGATGCCACTGGCCCTGCCCTGGAAACGACCTCTTCAAGGCATAGTGATGAGATGAGAAAGACCACAGCTTCCATCACTTACCCTCCTAGACGCCACCCACAAAGCTAAGCTTCCATCACTTACCCTCCTAGACGCCACACACAAAGCTAAGCTTCCATCACTTACCCTCCTAGACGCCACCCACAAAGCTAAGCTTCCATCACTTACCCTCCTAGACGCCACCCACAAAGCTAAGCTTCCATCACTTACCCTCCTAGACGCCACACACAAAGCTAAGCATACAACAGGTGTTAACCCAGGGGTTAGGCACTGGAAGGAATTAAACGAAAGGCTTGATTTCTCCATTCAATATGGTTTCTCACAGACTCAGGGAAAACCATTTTCAGAAATACTCCCTTGTTTTTACTTCTACTTCAGAGCCCCTCTGCTGGTGTTTCTCTTAAGCTTAGTGTCTGCGAAGGTCCCTTGAACATGCATTTCCAATTTAATAAGGTAATTATCAAAAAGGGATGCTGAGGCACCCTGGGGTTGGTAGGGAAGGAAGAGGGACCATTACTGCTAGAGAAGGAAGGAATTACCAGAATGCATAGGGACTTTAGCTTCCAGTGTAGTGTAGCCACACAGGGAATGCCAACAGTAGCTTGACTGTCCCTTCTGGCTCTAAACTTCTAGTACTTTC